AAACTAAACATGTCTGAAAAACATCTTCTAAGTGCTCCTGGTCCAGATGGCTTTCCCAGGGACCTTCAAGTGCTTTCTGTGACTCAGACTTCTGGGTTCAGTCTCCGAAATGGGAAGATGAGGGGCCTGGAACTCCGTCTAACAGGAACTGGTATCTCCAAAATCTCCACAGCCCAGCAGCTGGACACACAGTGCCCAGGCCCATACCTATGTGCAGAGAGGACTCCGGAAATGCTCTCCTCCTGCCCTGCCCACCCCGTGCTCATGAGTACCTGCAGAAACCACTCAGGTCTCAGAAACTAATGAGAGCTACTATTTTGGGAACACTTTCTATGTGTCAGGTGATGTGCGAAGTGCTCTGTGTGTATCTTTTAATTAACTATTTCCAGCAACCTTCTGAAGAAGATATTACTAAACCTATTTTACAGTGCAGTAAACGGAGACTCAGAATGTTGAGACAAATTGCTAGGATCATAGAGCTGCCAGAGTGTGGCAGCTTTAGATTTAAATCTGGATTTAAATCCAGATTTGTCTATTTCCCAAACTGAGAGGCAGGCAAGCTGTAACCCCAGACCTGAAAATACTTTTCTCATCTATTCCCTATGAGAACAAACCACACTTTCTGCCATCAGAGAAAAGGCCACAATCTCAATCCAGATTCCCTAGGGTAATGATAGAGACTGGAGGATGATATTTGAGTCACTAAGAGTCTCAGAGATCATGGGGGTCATAGAAGAGGAAACGTAGATCCAGAGAAGGAAGTGATTTTTCCAAGGACTACCTAACCGCAGTCTCTGCATCTCCAATTGGCCAGTTGACTGGAGGCACATAGATGTTGTATGGTTCCATCTGCAGGGGGGGGAAGGGAGCACAGAGCCTGGAGGTACAGACATGGCTGCCTGGCTCCACTCTTCCTTGGGGTAAATGAACAGTCTTCAAGAGGAGAACATGACTACTACAGCAATTTAGAAAGAGGCCCAGCTTGGGTCAGGATTGCATGACTCAGTGCTCAGCACTTTGGCCTCTACCCTTGTGAAATCCCTTGGGGGAATAGAATGGAATTCCACCACCTACCCCATCGCACTGTGCTGACCCTCTTCCTGAGCCTCCGACCCCTGCTGGGTGATCCTCAGCTCAGGTCCCCAAACCCCGCTGTGGGGCTGCTTCTCCCATTCTGCTCCTAGCTGTATCCCTCTGACCCATTGCTGGATTTTCTCCTCTGGCCCCCTGCAGCCCTGGCTCAGGGTAATAATACTAATAGCCACTACTTACAATATATTTACTAATGTACGTGCCAAGTGCTAGGCAAGAGCTTTTACATGTTCATGAACTCCTTGCATCAATTCTAGGAAGTAGGCACTCTTATTACACCCATTTTACAGATACATAAAATGAGACTCACACGAGATAAGTAACTTTGCCAAAGTCACACAGCCAGTGAGGATTGCCTCAGGTATTTATATACCCCTGAAGTTTGATCTCTTATTATCTAGAGACAGCATAGCCATTCAGCCTAGGTTGTTTTTTTGTCCCACCCTACCTCCCTGCCAGAGAGGGATGGGGGTGAGAGCCAGATGTCTTCTTTCAAGAGTACACAGCTTTGACCTCTCTGCCAGCTGTACTGCAAGTTTCTTTAGGCCAGGGGGTCTCTAAATCTGGTTCCTGGGCCAGGAGCATTGGTATCACCTGGGAACTTGTCAGAAATACATATTTTCAGCTTACTGAATCAGAAACTCTGGAGTGGGGCCCAGAAATCTGTGTTTTAACTAGCTTTCCAGGTGATTCTGATGCCCACTCATCTGAGAACCACTGGAGAATACAGAAGAGTCAACAGCCCTTTCCATGCCATTCCCAGGTGATTCTGGATGCAGCATCTGGAGAAAGTGAGACTTTTCAACTGAGTATTTTTTTCTTATTTGGTGGTAGTGGTTGTATTCTCATCACATTTGTCAGAATGACTCAGGTCTGGCTTGAAAGAAAGTGAAGTCTTTAATTGTTGCATGCTATTATTTTTTCAGATTTGTGTTCAGCCTAGAAGAGAGTGAAAATAAACATCAAGAAATCCAAACTACCCAATTCAGCATCTTAGCATTTTGTCTGTCTAGGGAAAGGCTGTGACTCTAATCCCACATTCAGTCAACACACTTGAGTTTTACCTCCTTGATACCAGGTCCTGGGCTGGGTTCTGAGACACAGACCCGGCCTCTGTGCCCGGGAACAGAGATAATTACCTCCTTGATACCAGGTCCTGGGCTGGGTTCTGTGCCCGGGAACAGAGATACCTCACTAATAACTAAAATTTGGAGTTCCAAGCTTTGAGGTTCAGGATCTGCTCTAACATGACCCTGGCCTTTCAAGTTTCTCACCGCTGCACAACCCCGAATTTGACTTCAGGCTCTGCCACTTGCCAGCTGTGTAATACTGGGTAAATCACTTGGCCTCTCTGGTCCTCAGATTCCTCCATTGTGAAATGAAAGTAATAATTCCCACCTTGCAGGCTTGCTGTGAGGATGGAGGAAATGTGTATAGTACAGAGGTGACACTCACTAGCTGTGTGACCTTGAGCAGGTTAGCCTCTCTAGCTTGTTTCCCTCCCCCATAATACTAATAGCACCAACCTCATAGGGTTGTGAGATTAAAGGTTATATAACTCTTACAACAAGGCTACATGATAGTAAGTTCTCTGGCAATATTTGTAGCTATTATTATTATTAAACACATAATACAATGCCTGGAGCATAGTAGATGCTCAGCAAACTGTGGCTACTGTTATTATTAATCTCTACCTTTAACTTGAAGACAGCTCTGACCTTACAATGCCTAAGACTGCTTTTAGCTTCTCGTTTCTGATTACTTCATGGTCTCCATCTCCCTGAAGCATTCAGGGACTTTGCAGTGCTGACTTCAGGTTGATGCTCTTTATGCCAGTTCATCTTGTATTTGAATCTGAGTTCCAGGCTCTCTCAGGTCTCCTGCTATTTGCTCTTTGCCTGGTCTCAGCATTCTTTGTTCTGGTTTCATGCCCCAGAACAGGGCCCATCTCACAAGCATAAAATCAGTCAGACCAGAGTTAAGTCTCAGCTCTGTTGCTCACTAGCTGTCTCACCTTAGACAAAAGATTTAACTCCAATTTTCTCATCTGTAAAGTGGGGCTAATAAGGCCTGTCAGTGTTGTCTAAAGATTAAATGCAATCATGTGTTTGTAAACATTTAGCATGGTGTCTGTCACACAATAGGTAATAAATGTTTATTTACTTCTCTGTCTACCTTGCCCTATGGAGTAAATGCTGTAATTATTCTGAACTGGCATACTGATCTGTAAAAGGGAGAAATCACCTTTTCTACTGTGTGAGATACTGTCAGTCTCTATGCAATTCCCAGTCTCTTTTTCTTTAGTATTTTGATTTTATTGGAGGTTGGAGATAGCAAAAATGTACCCAGCTAGAAACTACATCTTCCCGCCTCCTTTGAAGCTAGGTAGCACCATGTATCTGTTTTCACCAAGGATATGAAAGAAAGCGTTGGATGATGGTATGAGTTGAATTGTGTCCCCCCCAAAATATGATAAAGTCCTAATTCCCAGTACCACAGAGTGTGACTTTATTTGGAAATAGGGTCTTTACAGAAGTAATCAAGTTAAAATGAGATAATTTGGGTGGTACCTAATCCAATATGACTGGAATCCTTATTAGGAAATTTGGACACAGACACATACACAGTGAAGATGATGTGAAGACACACAGGGAGAAGACAGCCATATGACTGGAGTGATGCATCTATAAGCCAAGGAATGCCAAGGATTATCAACAAACCTCAGAAGCCAGAAGGGGCAAGGAAGGACTCTCCCCTAGAACCATCAAAGAGCATGGCACTGCCGACACCTGGATTTTGGATTTCTGACCTCCAGAACTCGTTTAAGCCATCCAGTTTTTGGTACTCCAGCAGCCCTAAGAAATTAACACAGATGGAATTGGGGGATGGCCGCTTAAAGGGAGGTTTCCTGCTGCCTAGAATGTGCAGAGTTGGTGTTTAAAATCTTTAATAATCAGTATGGAGATGGGCACTGATCAATCAGAAATGACACTGACCACGAACAATTTGTCTGGTCACACTGTATATACTGGTTAAATATTAGCCTTGGAAATGTGGCTGGAGTTCCAGCAGCCATTTTGGACCATGAAGCTAGAAGCTAGGAGCCAAGGATGATAGAGTTGAGAGGAGATGCCTTGGTTCCTGATGATTTTGTGGAGCTGCCACACCAGACTTGGACTGCTTACCTCCAGAGTTATATACTACATACGTGGTAGACTAAACCTATGTTTATGGTTCTGTTGTTTTTGGCCTATTTTCCTCAGCCGAACCTAAATTTAACTGACACCGAATCCTATGAAGTATTGGGAATCCTGAATAAAATGATCAATGGGAAAGTATTTTGCAAACTCTCCAACTCTATGCACACACAAGACATTTTTTATTATTGCAGTGTTTCTGACTATAATTATGATTGGTTTAGGAAGAATAGGTTGAAATTGATGGACATGATCCTGGCCAGAGATCAGAAGCTCTTCATCCTACTTCAGCAACATGTTCTCAAGGGCTCTACACAGTATCCATGGAAAACAGTGGCATTAGAGACTGGCAGGAGAGGGGCTGCCTACTTTTGGGCTAAATGCCAGCAGGATGACTGGGTGACTTTTGTTGGGCGGGGGCCAGAATGCTCAGCCACTGGTTGGCAGTTAAGCATAAAGGTTAAGAGTCAGGGTAGATGGGTTTAAAATCCAGGTTCCACCCTTACTTGCTTGTGACTCTGGGCAAGTTACTGAAATTTTCTGAATCTCAGATTCCTTATTTGTAAAATGGGAACAATTATAGCTCCTGTGACATAGGGTTGTCATGGAGATTCAGTGATATAACATACCCAGTAGGGAAGATTAATCTGGTTTATCTGTATCTAGTCCACTAACTCTTAACAGATCATAAATGGACAGACTAGATTCTGGTTTGTTCCTTCTTACCTTTATTGATTCATTCAGGAAGCATACTGCATGTATCTATTACGTGCCTACTATGTACCAGGTGATGAAAAGAGCTAGTGAGGTAGACTTAGACCATGGCATGACATTCAAATACAGCCAGCTCAAAGAACAGTTAATAAAAAAAGAGTAGAGGTAAAGTTTATTTGGGTGCTCCTTCCCTCTTCTGACTATCATCTTTTCCTGATGGGTCTTTTCAGGATTTCATCCATGGCTGTCTTGGTCGCCTTCATCTCAGTCAGTAGATGCTGCTTCTCAGGAGGACCTCAGTCACTAATTCATACTATGGTGCAAATGACTACAAATCTCTCAAAACATGGACCCCTAAAAGGCTGCCTCCTGCATAGAAAACAAGAAGGTTCCGGGTAGAAATCATTTAGTCTGAATGCTCTCAGTTCATAGGGGGAAATCAAGCCAGGCAGAAGTGACCCTGGTCTAAGCAGGATGACCCAACCAAGGACACCCAGAAGTCACGTGGCCGAGTTGGGTGGGGACTCCATGGTCACTGCTTTACACCATCTGAGTATGTTATGATTAGGTTGTGCAGGGTGCTCTAGGGAGATACTGAGGCAGGACTAGAAGGGCCTCTGTCTTTCGAGAAGCCTACAGCTTGACAGAGGATATGAACACATATGTTAGACCAAAAGCCCTTTGGCCCCACTGATTTGAAATGCTGCCTTCATTGTGTACCACATTCTCCAATAAGCATGAAACTATTCTAGACTCTTCTTTTCTACCGCCATCTCTTCCTGTAAGTACTATGGTGTTTCAAAGATTATAGTTTTATAAAATACTTTGCTATCTGGTAGAGGAAGTTCTCTTCTTTTTAAAGAACGTCCTAGCTGTTCTCATACGATTACTGTTCCAGATGAAATTCTGAATTAGCTTTTGAGTAACACAGGTATTGAATCCTCATCAGCATTCTTGTTTAGGCCAGTCACTGGGCACTCTGAAGAGCCAGGCACTCGGTTCCTGCCCTTTAGAGTTCATAAACTTGCTGGGAAGTGTAACCAAACAAGAGGTGTAAAGTGACAACTGGAATCTCACTCTGTGAGTAACCAGAGCCAAAGGAATGAGGAGTCCACACAGACAAAAGTGCTATGAGTTCCATTGTTCCTCCAGGCTAGGAATGTCATGGGAGGCTCAATAGAGGAAGTGACATTATACTGGACTTTGATAAATGAGCAGAGTTTGTCAGGTAAAGTGAAGAAATACTTTGAATTGGGGAAGTCAGAGAATGCTTACCTTCCCTGAAGGAGACATATTTCATTTGAGAGGTGACAGGAGTTTGCTTCATTCAGAGGGTGGAATGAAGGGAGGGGATTGCCCTGAGCTGGGAAATCCATAAGAAGGCTCTCTGAAGACATTTTAGCTGGGTTTTGAGTTGGATGATCAAAGATGCTGGAAGAGGCAATTAGAAAAGTAATATAAAGAGATGACCTTTGACCTGGACTTCGAGGGAGGAGTGAGCAGTTCACCACAGGAGCGGAGGTCGTCACAGAAAAGGCTTCCCGGAGCAATTAGAAAACCTCCTGGCTTACCACCCATTCTCTTTAGATCTCAGATCCAGGATCTAAGCGTCTCACCGCATAGACGCCCGGGATTCTGAGGTGGCAGCCTGGCAGTTCCGGCGTGGAGTAGCCGTGGACCAGGACTCAGCCTGGAGGACTGAGGCTCAGGTTTGCTGAGACGCCCAGCAGAGCTGAATGCTTTATGTCAGAATCGACCAATGGGATGGCGGCACCCGGTTGCCAGGGCTACGGGGTCGACGAGGGAGGCGGGGCCTAAGTACCGGGGGCGGAGTCTGGGCGGGGCTTATATAAGCGGGCGGCGGCAGGAAGGCGGGGCGTGGGGGTCGGTTTGGGCGGGCGGGGCGCAGGCCGCGGGGCCCGAGCCGGGGGAGCGAGCGAGCGGAGGCGCCGAGGATCCGATTCACTCGCTGGGGAAATCTATGGGCCGAAGCCGTGTAAATGCGTTTTAAGGCGAGTGCTGGGAGTGGCTCCGGGAGCCTCAGGGTACGGGCGCCTTCGGCTCCCGTGCTGACCTGCTCCTGGCCCCCTCCTGCCTCCTTTCAGCAGGGGCCTCGGCTCCGCAACTGCCACTCCTCCTCGGGGTGTTGCACAAGTTTCGAGGTCACCGGCGACCCCCCCTAGCAGCGCGCCTGGCACTGGCCCCCGCGAAGGAAGACGGGGCTTGGTAAGGGTGTTGGGGGTGGGGGCGGCGGAGGCAGCACTTCGGCCCTACACTAGGGAGGGCTCACCCGGACTTAACCTCAGCCTTCGGTTCTCGCCCGGGAGCCCGCGTGGCGCCCCCATGCACGCTTAGAATTCTAACTCACTAGCACCAGCCAGGCCCCCACTTACAAACGGTGAAACTGAGGCTCCGGGAGGGGACGGGGTGTACCCAAGGTCACGTAGCAGAGAGCGGACTTGAACTTAAGCCCAGCTCTGGGGCCGAGACGCCAGAAGGAGCCATCCGCAGCCTTTTAGGTGGGCGTGGTCAGGACTGGGTGCACCCTGGAAACTTGGCCACTCGAGCTTCTCGGCTTCCCTGCTATCTTGCAATCTTTCTTTCTCTTTTTCCTAAAACCCAAATTTCAGAACTGGAAACTCTAGAACAATTCATCCATTTTACGGGTAGGAAAACAGACTCGGGGAGGCAGTGACAGACAGCTGGGCATATTAATGCCTTATCCCAATCCAGGATTCCTGGTGGTCCCTACCCTTCCCAGTGAACCTAAGCGCCCCAGGCTTGTGCTGGGGGCACGGTGTGACAGAATTGGGCGTCCTGGTCAGGGGAATTGAGGGGATCAGCGACCAGCCCCCCTCTCCTACACGCGTTCGGCACCCAGGCCAGCGGCCCTCTCTCTCTCCCCTTGGCAGTGTGTTGCATACTTTCTAAGGCGGCGGCGGCGGCGGCAGCGGCGGCGGCGGCGGAGGCTCCATCCAGCCTATCGGCTCCTCCTCCTAGGCATGGCTGGCTACCTGAGTGAAACGGACTTTGTGATGGTAGAAGAGGGCTTCAGCACCCGAGACCTGCTGGAGGAACTCACTCTGGGGGCCTCAGAGGCCACCACGGTGAGGGGCTGTGAGTGGGGGTGGGTCCCCGATTCTCCGTGCAGGCCTGCTGTCTCCTCTGAAAGGGCCTCTTGGACCCCCATCTTATTCTTTCACTGATTTGGTGCTCAGTCCTTGCTATTTGCAAGACATCCCGAGTTTCCAGTCCTTGCCCCCAAATCTGTCTCTCCTGTTCCCTACCTTGATAATAGTACCACTATCATCTACCTAGCCCTCTAGGTCAGAAACTGAGAGTCCTTGCTTCCCCCACCCCCACCCCACATCTAGGCATCACCAAGCTCTGTGGGTTCAGCCTCCTTAATTACTCTCCAGTGTGTTCCTCCAGAACCTCGCTTTGTAGTTCAGGCTTCATCTCTCTAAAAGCCCCCCAGCCTCCTCCCCGCTTCACCCCACCCCCTCCAACTTTATCAGAGCTCTGCTCAAAATCATAATTCTTTGTCTGTTCCTCACTGCCTTCATAGCCCCATTCCCGGCTTCTCCCATGGTATATATTATACTCCTTCAGAGCTGAACTGCTCTGCTTGTATGTCCTAATGATGCCATGTGCTCTATTATCACTCCTTTGCCTAGAATACCCTTCTCCCAGGCTCTCTCCCTCTTACCTATTTCTACTCATTCCTTATTACTTACCTTTTCCTGATTGCCCAGGCAGATTTTGTATTTTCTTTCTCCATAGGCCCCCATTTCACTGTGTAGAAACTCCTGTTGAGCATTAATTGAATGGGCTTGATTGTGTAAGGGGTTTGTTCTCTTCTAGACCCAAGTCCCTTTAGGATTAGATCCCTGGTCATCTCTGGTCATCACTGTTCCTTAGCATAATGTCAAATACCAAGTGGGCATTTGTAAAAAAAAGAGGTGTTGCATAAAGGGAAACTGAGTCCCAAGGAAAACTTTAGTAATGTGGTCTCACCCATAGCCTCATGCATGTTTGGCCCTCAGCATACCTGTCATGGCCACTTGTCCATAGGCATGGATTGCAGTGGCAGTGGAACTACCTCAAGGCTTCATTGAGAACCAGTATGTGAAAAACAGTGGGCTGTAGGCCATAGCTTTGGCCTTTAAGGAGCTTATCTTTTCCTGGAGAAGACAGATGCAAACCTGGTTCTGATACTTTGGAAGCAAGTGCAAAACGCCGTAGGAGCATTAAAGGCAGAGTTGCCTTCTTGGTTTGGGGCAAGTGATGTTCCACCCGAAACTTGAAGGCAGATTAAGAATTTGCCAGACACAAGTAGGGGAAGGGTATTCTATGCAGAGGGCATGGTGGGAACAGAGGCATGGAGGTGGGAATATAAATGATCCAGTCTGCAGCTGGAGTTTGAACCGCAGTGAGGGGAGGGACTGGGGCTGGATCACAGGGCCTGAATGCCAGGTTGGGGAATTTGCCTTCTGCTCTGTGTGCTAGGGGAGCCCTAGGGAATTTGGAGCAGGGTAGCTTCATGGCCAGAGCCATTTGAGGCAGGTATCTGGGAGGACTAGGGATGGCACGCATAAGGAGGGAGTTGGGTGGGGTCTCACATTCACCCTTCTTGTTGTGCAGGGTGAGGTCGCTGCCTTCTTCGTGGCCGACCTCGGTACTGTAGTGAGGAAGCACTTCTGCTTTCTGAAGTGCCTGCCTCGAGTCCGGCCCTTTTACGCTGTCAAGTGCAACAGTAGCCTGGGCGTGCTGAAGGTCCTGGCCGAGCTGGGGCTGGGCTTCAGCTGTGCTAACAAGGTGAGCCCCTGCCCCAACCAGCACACTGACCCTCGCTGCCTACTGAACATGCACATGGCCAGGCTGCTATGGGTGGGCCCTGGGAAGGCAGGAGTGACCTGCAGTTGGCCCATGCCTTCTGGGGAGGGCCACTCGCTTGGAAGGAATTTTAAGGGGTGAGGGAAGGAGTAACAAGCCTGGAATTTCCCAGCCTTGAAGTTTCAAATTGGAACCTTGTGTGTCCCTCGGTGGATGGTTCTTTTTTTTTTCAAATGGCAGTTTTCAAACTTCTTGGCATAGAGCTATTCATGGTATTCTAATTAAAACAAAACAAAACAAAAATATCCTCTTATCTTTGGTTTTATTTTCTTTTATTTTTTATAATCTTAATCATGTGTGCCTGTACATTTTCTTAACTAATCCTTTTAGACTTTTGTTATTGTTATCAATTCTAATTTGATTAATGTTGTCTTACTTCCCTCTGTTCTCTTTAGATTTATTTTACTTATTTACTATTTTTAAAAATTATCCATTGAGCTCCTACAAGGTGCTAATCACTGTGCTAGGTGTGGCTGGCAATACAGTTCGAGTAAGACAGACTCTCCTGTTCTTTAGTTGAATGCTTAGCTTATTTATTTTCATCCTGTTTTTACTTGATATAAGCCTTTAAGCTATCAAGTTTCCTCAGAGTACAGCTTTGGATTTATTTATGCACTCAGCAAACATTATGGAGCACCTACTGTGGGGCCAAGCACGATTCTTGGTTGGGATTTAGCAAGTGAACAAAACAAAACAAAAAAGGCTCCTCCTTCACTGGGGCTTGCTTTCTAAAAACAAGTTAAACAGTGAAAATCTATAGTATTTTAGATGGTAAATGCTGTGGAGAACATTAAGAAAGGGAAGTAAGGAATGTTGGGGGGAGAAGTTTGCATTTTTAGAAAGTTTAGCCAGGGAAAGCTTTGCTGAAATTTGAATATAGACCTGAAGGAAGCAAAGGATCAAACCAGGTGGATAACCAAGGGAAGAGCATTCTAGGCAGAGGGAACAGCAAGTGCAAAAGCCCTGAGGTGGGAGCAAGCCTGGTGGGCTTTGGTTTGTGATATTGTCATTACTGTTATTTTTGTAATGGTTCGTAATGATTGAGGGGAAACCCCTTTGAACCCCCCTTTAAAATCCCTTTTAAGTCAGTAATATGGCTGTGTGTTGTGAGGAGAGTTCAAGAAAGGATTCCTGGGGGAGAAAGGAGGAGAGCTAGCCTGGGCTGGATGACAGGGCTGGTGGGATTCTAGTGGGAGATAGGTATGCACCAGGATGGGGCAGTCAGAACAAGGAGGCTAACTTTCATCAGAAACAAATGTTAATGTTCTTATTGATAGATGAGTCTCTCCCTTTTGTCAACTGCAAAGCCCCTCTACATTAGCTCTTGCTTTGCATACCTAGTTTCATGCGTGTGTCACATAAAGCCCTGTGAGGGGCATAGGGAGAGAGATTGCCATTTTGCAGTTGAGGAAATTGGAGGCCAACTAACTGCACACATCTCGCTTGTACCAGAGCCTGGTCTTGCCCCTGTACATGCTGGGCCTCTGCTCTGAGCAAGGAAAGGGACACTTTTCCAGCCCCCTGGGTCTAGGGGTGAAGAATAGGACCAAACCCCACAGACTAGAGTCCTCTGCTTCTGGAAACCCAGAGGTGGGCCCCTTGGCCCTTTAGCCTCAGGGGATGGCCTTCAAAGGGCAGAGTTGTGGGATATTAGAGCTTTGAAAGTCTTCGAAGTCAGCATGTGCTTCTGTTGTGCCAAGCACTTTGCCAAGCGTTTTCTGTACACAATCTCATTTTATTTTTGCAACAACACTGTGAGGTAATTACTATTACCATTATTCTGACAATAGTCCTGTGAGGAAGCATTTAACATATAAAGAAAGGAAGCACAGAGGTTGGGTGACTCACTGGGAAGTGGTTGCTTGAGTATGGCGATGGGGTCTGTGATTCTATCGCTGCTGTCTTTTCCAAGGTCCTGGGGATGGGATAGCTGAGCTGGGACTAAGGTGGTGACAGATGCTAAGCGTGGGGGCTGGGAGAGGCCAATTACCCCTCCTGGTGGGTGGGATCACACAGACCTTTGCGCGCATTTACTGAGAGGTGTCTATGGGACACCCAGCTTTTCTTGGAAGTCCAAGGCTGCCCTCTTCTGGTCAGCCATAGTTGGTAGCCACGCTTAGCAAAATGCCTTTGCTGAGGGCTTGGCGTGAGCTGCGGCAGGATGTACAGATTTGCATCACACAGCCTCCGGGGTCAAGGGCACAGGCCACACTTTGCACAGGGCTCTGGTCCATTCAAACTTCCCAAGGCCCTTATGTCATCTCGCCTTCCCTCATCCCTTGCCCTTTCTTGCTGTCTCCCTTAGCATACTTCCATCTTAAAAAGCTTTCCTTAGACACAACATCATCCCTCAACCCATCCCTTATTCCTCATGGCCAAATGGAGTTGTCTGCACTCGTGTGTCTGCACTCACTTGTCACTTTCCCTTAGCACCCACTCCTTACGTCTTTGCTTCCTGACCTCCTCTTACCAACATCCCCAGCGACCTCCAGGATCCAGAGAGCACTTTATCTTAAACCTTCATTTTCAGTTACTTAAATAATACATGGATTTATTCGCACACACCCCAAAGTAGGACATCAGCTTTATGTCTCCAGAGATAATCACCATTATGAGTTTGAGTTTGGTGGGTATAGAGTACTTAAAAATATGAATAGGATCCATGGGAAATATACAAAATATCTTGTGATTTTGTAATAAAATATAAAAGATGGTCATGTGGTATATACTGTTTGGCAATAGCTTTCAAGCAGGTTTTAGAACTCTCCATGTTGATGCATTTAGACATTGCTCGGGACATACCTTGGTCCTTTTATTATCTGGCCTCAAACATATTCAACACAGCAAATTATTTTTTGTGGTGGTAAGCACACTTAACATGAGATCTACCCTCTTAACAAACTTCTGAGTACACAGTACAGTATTGTTACCTGTCGGCATGATATGTACGTCAGGCCTCTAGAATGTATTCTTGTTTAACTGAAACTTGATACTCACTGAAGAGCAACTTCCTATTTAATGACGTAGTCTTTTGAAAAATACTCAACATTAACAGATGTTCCTACTTTTAAAGACTTTGGAAGTGTATCAGATGAAAGTGAATGATGCTCTGTGCCTGCCCCTCCCTCACTGGGTGTCTCTGACAATTGTGGCGCCTCCTTCCATATAGACACGAGTCGTAGGACAGGTTTTACTGTGACAGGAATGGCATTATGATCTCTGTATTGTTCTGCCTCTTTTGGAGACATTCTCTCTCCTCACATCTCTACAGGTCCTGGGTGCCAGCTTTTCCTTATCTTCTACTGCTCTCTAAATGGGAGCTTTCCTCTGGATTCCATCTCAGGCTCCCTTATCTTGTAAACTCTCCCTCTGCTTAGGGAATTTCATCTCCTCCATGGCTTTAAATGGCATCAATATGCCACCACCTCCTATGTTGCTATCCAGCCCAGACCTATATCACCAGCTGCTGACTTGATAATAAAACAAGATGCCTGGAACCTAATGTGTTCAAATGCACTCATGACCTTCTCTTTGGGAAGCGTCCTTCAATGTGCTGGGCATGGAGTCCCCTCAGACATCCTCACTCTGCCTCCCCATGTGTAATTCACCACCAAGCTTGCCAGCCCTGCCTCCAGAACACATGTCCCCTGCCCTTTTAGTGCAGCCTCTGTCATCTCTTCCAGGGCATTTGTGACCAGTCTGCCCACAATCTCTTGGGCCCTTCCTCAGGCTGTTGTCACATGGTAGCCAGAGTGATATGCTTTTAGACTTTGCATTTAAAATGCAAATCCAGCCATGTCATGTCCCTTCTTGAAACCCTTCAAGCTGTTTTCCATCATTTGCCGGGTAAAATATGAATCTACACCAGCCTTCTTCGTTTCTCCATTGGCTCTGGCCATCTTCCTCCAACCTTACCCCCCACCATCACCACCATGCACTCCCTGCCCAGGCCACTCCACCTGCCTATACCTGGATCAGGCTGAACACCTGGCTTCAGAACCTCTCCAGAGGCACTTCCTTTACCCGATACATTCCTTCCGTTTTGGCTTGGCCGAGGCCTCTTGTGTGGCTCAGCTTAAATTTCTGACCCTTCAAAGGGCTGCTATCCACCCCTACACCCAGTTCTCCCCATCCTGCATTCTCTCTGGTATCCTGTACTCTTTCTTCACGCTCTTATCCATTTGTAATTCTATTACTATTCAGTGTTCATTCGTTCCTGTCTTCTCCATCAGCCTGAAAATGCCACAGGGTCAGAGACCCTGTCTGTTTTACTCACTACTTGTTTTCATTAGCACCTGTCATAGAGCCTGGTAACTCAAAAGATGCCCAAGAAATATTTGTCAATTCAGGATCGAGGTTGAGTTAATTCTTCTTTACAGTAAGTACTGTTGTTAAGAGCTGTATGCTCAAGTTGGACAGTCCCGGGTTAGAATTCCAGTTGTGCCACTTATAAACTGTGTTTCTTTGGACACGTAACCTTTCTAAGCCTCTGTTTCCTATATCATAAGATTATTATGAACATTAAATAAGAATATATATAAAATGTTTAATGCCATGGTAGGCATATGGTAATCATAACAATGGTTATATTTTTCCTTTTTTAAAATTTATTTTAAAATATTAATTGACCTATTATATTAGTGTCAGGTGTACAACATAGTGATTAGACATTTATATACCTTACAAAGTGATCACCATGATAAGTCTAGTACCCATCTGTCACCATGTACAGTTATTACAATATTGTCAACTGTGTTCCCTATGCTGTACTTTACATCCACATGACTAATATTACAACTGGCAGTGTGTACTTCTTAATCCCCTTCACCTTTTTCACCCAGTCCCCTAACCCCTTTCCCCTCTGACAACCATCAATTTGTTCTCTATGAGTTTCTTTCTGTTTTGTTTGCTTGTTTATTTTGTTCTTTAGATTTCACATACAAGTGAAATCATATGGTATTCATCTTTCTCTGTCAGACTTATTGCACATAATACCCTCTAGGTTCATTCGTTTTGTCACGAATGGCATAATTTCATTCTTTTTTATAGATGAATAATATTCTTGTATATGTGTGTGTATATCATCTTCTTTGTCCATTCATCTATTGATGGGCACCTAGGTTGCTTCCATACCTTGGCTATTGTAAATAATGCTGCAATGAACATAGGGGTGCACAGATCTTTTTGAATTAGTATTTTAAGTTTCTTCGGATAAATACTCAGAAGTGGGATTGCAGGATCATGTGGTAGTTCTATTTTTAATTTTTTGAGGGACCTCCATACTGTTTTCCATAGCGCCTGCATCAATTTACAACCCACCAACAGTACATGAGGGTTTCTTTTTCTCCACAGCCTCACCCACACTTGTTATTTCTTGTCTTTTTGATACTAGCCATTCTGATAGGTGTCGTTGTGGTTTTGATTTGCATTGCCCTGATGATTACAACAATGGTTCTTATTTAAATATTTATAATCAAAGCTAAATGACAGGTCCCCAAAGTGTTAGCATTGTTTCTTCCTCTCATGTGGTGAAGCAGGGTGCAAAAACACTTTTCATAAACACTTAGACTCAGGGTCTTTGGAAGCAAGCTGTGATGGCAGCAATTCTAGGTCTGGAGTTGGACCTTTGTGTCCCACTTTGCCACTTACTGGTGGACCTCTCCAAACTCAATTTTGTCCTCTGTAAAATGTGGTCAATGAATATTTCATAGGATAGTTATAGGCATCACCTGAGATAATGCACATACATACTTCTTGCTGAAAAGTTGATAAATTAAAACCAGAGCCTTGTTACAAACTCAGGATCACTAAAAATGGCCCTGTGTCTTCTAGCGTGTTTCAAAAATGGCTTCCCTTCGCCTGCCTTCCCTTAATCATGGAGAGTCAGACCTGAGTTTGAAAGTTGGTTCTGCCACCTACTTGCTGTTTGCTACACAGTCTCTCTGAGCATCAGCTTCCTTCTCTGTAGAATGGAGCTAATACTCATGTAATGCCGTTATCATAAGGAGTAAATAAAACAGTTTATCTAAAGTAAGGGTTGGCAAGCTGTGGGTGGTGGGCCTAATCCAGCCCACTGATGATTTTGTAAAGTTTAATTGGATCACAGCCGTGCTTATTCACTCACGCATTGTCTGTGGCTCCTTTGGTGCTACAATGGCAGTGGAGTAGTTGTGACAGAAACTGTATGGCCTACAAAGCCTAAACTATTTACTCTCTGGCCCTCTTTAGAAAAAGTTTGCCAACACCTGATGTGAAGCATCTCATTGAGTGCCTGCTTGTGGTAGGTGCTCCATGACCATGGTTGCTCTCATCATCATCATTATCATTATCTGTATCATTAATGCAGCAATCAGGTGAAGCAGTGTTCTGTAAAGGTGATGAAGAAGAGTCCCTGAGGGGAGAGGGGCTCTCTGGAGTCACCCAGCACAGTGCCATGCATACGGCAGGCCTGTGTCAAAAAAGACTCGTGGTTTTGTGAACGTTCTAATACATCAAGTAATAGTCTCTAAATTTAAATCTGCCAGGAAAATGTGTCAGAAGTCTGTTGTTAGGGCCACCAGAAGTCCATATAGTGCCTTTGTGTGAATTAGAAAACGTACCCCTTCCTTAAGACACTTAATTGTTACAATAAATATACTGATTTTGTTAGAACGAGAAGATGCTTTACTGCCAGGAAGTTGTAATAAATATACAAATCTACTATGTATTCTTTGTGAATGGAATCCCCCTGCCCTTTAGGATTATGCAGTGTGCTACCTGCATGGCTGTACGTGGCAGCTCTGCCTGTCAAAGAATGGTGAGCCAGCCTGAGTTCTGATTTTATATATCTGTTATCTAAAAGTGGGGCTCATTCCTTATGGATCTCTGCATGCATAGCTATGACTTTGCCCCTCATCTGTGCTTCCTTGGCCTCTGTGGGCCCAGCAGGCCCTGCTGCCTCCTCACCACCACCTTTGGGACCCCACAGGCAGAGATGGAGTTGGTCCAGCGTATTGGCGTCCCTGCCAGTAAGATCATCTACGCCAACCCCTGTAAGCAAATTGCACAGATCAAGTATGCTGCCAAGCATGGGGTCCAGCTGCTGAGCTTTGACAACGAGATGGAGCTGGTAAAGGTGGCGAAGAGCCACCCCAGTGCCAAGTAAGCTGAGAGCCGCTCGTGGGGAGGTGGAGGGGGTGGGAGGAGTGGATTCGCAGCTGAGGACCATGACCTGAACCTGGCCACATCCCAGGCGGTTGGGGCAGGCACTCCTGGACTGGACCCAGGAAGCCAAGGACCGACTAAGACAAAGGCAGAAATAACTGATTACAGCCCAGGCAGAGCAAAGCCCACGGCGTTATGAAGGTCAAAGTCATGGCTGAGAGAACAAGACGGGGTGGTCAGGAAAACTTCACGAAAAAGGTGACGTTTGAGGTGGGCCTTGAGTAGTGAATGGAATTTGGGGAGGGCACAAACAATGGATCGGACTGAACCGCATAAGCAAACACACGGAGGCTGGAAATAGCATGGGGTGTTTGAGGGATAAGCAGAAATTTGGTGTGGCTGGAACATACCATGTGCGAGGGGTGAGGGAGACAGTGAGTGATGGTGGTCATGGGGCAGGGACCTGATGCAAATGGGCTTTGCAAGGGGTCAGGGCTGGACGTTTTGCTCAGACTGAGGCTCTCGTGGTCACTTGACACCCGGGGCATTCCAGGGAGTGGCCTCGGGGTGAAAGGTAGGCCAAGAGGTAGGCCATTCTGACTCACCCAAAGTAGCTTGCATTTTGCATATTTTACATGATATTGGGGTTCTCAATAAGACTGTGTTTAAAAAATCTTTCTCTTCATACAAAAAAAGTTGGAAAAGCCTGGCTGGTGTAGAGGCTGCTCAGGGGAGAACCGGTGAGGTTAGGACCAGGGCAGGGGTCCAGGGATGTTTAGAGGATGGATCGAATAGGATTTAGAGGCTGACTGGCTGGCTGTCCTGAGAGAGGAAGAGGTCGGGGGGGCCTGTGGAGTGTGGCAGCTCTGAGCCATGCACGTTCACATCCTTTGACTCAGAGAAGTGGTTGGGGTGGGGAGGAGGAGTCCACCCAGCGGAGGTGCCCTGTGTGTCTCCTCAGGATGGTTCTGTGCATTGCCACCAATGACTCCCACTCCCTGAGCCACCTCAGCCTCAATTTTGGAGCGTCACTGAAATCCTGCAGACACCTGCTTCAAAATGCCAAGAAGAGCCATGTAGATGTGGTAGGTGTGAGGTGAGTGCCTGGAAACCCCACCATCCCCACCCATGCCGGGCCCACTGCCTCCTTCCCAACGTTTCATCAGTTCTGTATGAGTCTTCCCCCATGGCCTTCGAGGGGGGCCTGGTCCTGGGCCTGGAATTGTGCTATTTGAGAGTTTCCTCTCTTTGGAAAGAAAGTTTGGAGTGTCCTGCTGCCCCAACCCCACAGCCCCCAGGGCTTGTCCCAGAAGTTTCCAGGAAGGATCTGGCTTTGCAGGAGTCTTACCTGCCTGTAGGCCACACCTTTGCCCTGCTTTTCTCCTTGCTGGGATGTGGAGGGAGTAGTAGTGATGACCTAACACCATAGCTTTCCTTCATTCTGTACATAGTACCAGTATGCCAGGCCCTGTGCTAAACGTTTCGTATGCATTATCCCACTGCCTTGTGAAGTCTTATCCCCACTTTACAGACAGGGGAACTAAAGGCCAGACAGGCCACACTGCTGACGGAAGGGCACATCTACGTCTGGCTGACTCTGGGATCCCAGCCTTCACGCCAGAGATGGAGGCATGGCAGGGGCAGAATGGAGGGATGGCAGAGGCACCAAGTGCCAAGGGACCTTAGACCTCGTCTCCTGTCCACTCCTTACTTGCCACTTGGTCCTTGGGAACACATTTAACCTCTTAGGCTCTCCGTCATTACATCTGTCAGATGGACAGCATGTTCGATGTGCCTGTCCAATGTGCCTTTCCTGGCTGGCACTGAGGTGGTGGCACCTGGGGCCCTGAATGTAAGCCGAGGCTCTTCCTTCCTTCCCAGTTTTCACGTTGGCAGTGGCTGTCCTGACCCTCAGGCCTATGCTCAGTCCATCGCAGACGCCCGGCTTGTGTTTGAAATGGGTGCCGAGCTAGGCCACAGGATGCACATCCTGGACCTGGGTGGCAGCTTCCCTGGAGTGGAGGGGGCCAAAGTGAGATTCGAAGAGGTAACCCTGGGGTCAGAGGTGTCTCATTGTGCTCTGTGGGTTGGGGGCAGGGCGGGGAGCATTTTAATGAAGATTGGGAGCCCACTGTGAGTGGGTCTTATGTGCTACATGCTGTGCTTAGTGCTTTACCTGGATCTTATTATTAACCCATGTTACAGCTGAGCAAATGAGGCTCATCAACGTTACATTACTTCCTGAGTGAGCTACAGAGCTGGCTGCACACCCAGCTTCGCCTGACTCTAGCCCATGGACATATTTGAGGTTCAACCACGCCATATTTGCATATGTCGAAAAGCTCTTTGAGAGTCCAGATATTCCCTATTCACCTTCAGGTGGGCTGATGAGGAATCACATGGGTGGGCAAGGAAAGGAAAAGCCAACCTTCTGTCCACTCCCATCTTTCATCTCCTTCCCATCTGTGAGATGAAATCAAGAAAAATGTTATCTCGATCCCCACTGCAACCACTAGGGGTCGCTTCTCCTTAGTAAAAGCTTCGTCCTGGAATATCCACATCTAGGAACTGACCCTAAGAAAATAGTCTGCTATGGACACAAAGAATTAACCTCAAAGATGAGCATTGCAGTTTTGTTCATCACAGAAGTCAGGTGGACTTCCCTGGTCCATCTAACACTTGGAGATTGGTTAAATTATGGATCATCCTTATGATAAATCATTTACTCACATGGAGAAGTCATTCACAGTCTATTGAGTAAAACAGATTATAAAAACATGTATAAGGCTTATCATGTATATATTGTACAATAAAAATGATTAAAGGAACTACTCCAGAAAGTTAACAATATTAGGTTAATCTGGATGATAGAATTAGGGGTCATTTTGATCTTTTTCCTTTTCGTATTTTCTGAAATTTTTTTGTAAAAGAAAATGTGTTACTTAAGAGACTGGTTATTTCTAAAACAGAGTTCTCCATCAGAGCTCTGGGATCTGAGTACCACACTTTTTAAAGTGTTACTTTAAAAGTGTCTCTTCCCACCATGGGACATTTGAGAAGGGTGATTTACACAAGCACGAGGGGTTTGATCCAGCTCTGTCTCCCGCCTACCTTTTTGGCCAGCTGTCTGCAGTTACCAGCTGGGGCCTTAGCAGCTGCCAAGTCCTTCTTCCTGAAATCAAAGAAGCTTTCAAGAAATAGACTTGAGGCTGTAGTGAGTCTTCAGCATAAACCCCACATTTCAAAAACATAACTGTCCCCCCATCCTCCTACCACCAGATTGCTTCTGTGATCAACTCAGCCTTGGACCTGTACTTCCCAGAGGGCTGTGGCGTGGACATCCTTGCCAAGCTGGGGCGCTACTACGTGACCTCGGCCTTCACCTTGGCAGTCAGCATCACTGCGAAGAAGGAGGTTCTTCTGGACCAGCCTGGCAGGGAGGGTAGGTGCCAGGTGGGCAGTGGAACCCCGTTTTTTCCCTGAAGCTAGGGACTGGCTGGCTGAGCAGGGTCTGGTTTTAGGGAGTGGGGGAATCTACAGAATAGATCCTTGCTTTAGAGAAACTTACAATCAAATCTCCTCAACCCCAAGACACTTATTTAGCATCTTCTTTTTCTATGAATGTTCATATTTTATGAAGATTAAGATCAAAATAACCTTAGGGAGCATAGATACTTTATTAACCCCATTGTACAGACAAAATTGAGAGCCTAATACAAGTGAATTGCTTAATGGCCAGTAAGAAGTAAAGCCTGCATTTGACCCCATGTTTGTCTCTTCTCCTAAACACAGGCTCTTACTCACTCAATATGTCTCATAATATCATGAAAACAATTAACGACAACATACATTTCTCTAAGCCTACTTTACGATGACAGAACATATGTATGAAGAGGTTGAATCACCAGCCCAAGGTCACACAGCTGATAAGGGATAGTGCTGGGATTCAAGTTCAGGCTGGGTTGACTCAAGGCGTCTCTGCCCACACTGCCAACGTCAGTGCTCTTTCCTGCCCTTCCAGATAGGTCAGTGCTCCTGGCAGCCCTGTGAGTGAGACGTGTCAGGGACTCTGGTCTTGGGGTTTTGCGCTCTGCTCCAGGACCCTCAGGCAGGCTCTTCTGGGGTCTGTGTGCTCTTCCCCAGAAAGAATTCATATGGAGGGATGGTAGGCTTCAGGTAGAACGTGTGTGTGTGTGCAAGTGTGTGTGTGTTGGGATGGCATTCTTCTGGCCTCCTTTATAGATCTGGGGGATAGCTCTATCTAGTCCCACCAGGAGACCTGGCTTCTTGTTCCAGTTCATGCACTGCCCCAGTCTTGTGCCTTTGAGCAAGTGGCTTAATCTCATGTGGTCTTGAGTTTGGGTGGGCTGCTCTTCTGCCTTTGCTGGGGGTGGGCATTGAGGGGCTCAGATGCAGGTAAGGTGTGTGTCCTGGGCAGGGCTGCTCAGTTGCAAGGGCGAGTGTTCCCAATGCTGCAGTGAACTTCACATCACCAGCCCATAGTCGAGGAAGAGGCAGCGCTTTCACTTCAACAACCCATCGTCCCAGTGGAGCCCACCACTGTGCCGGCTCCCCATGCTCCCACCCCCTCACCTTGCTGCTTGTCCTGCCCCTGACCCCTCCCCTCCCTGCAGAGGAGACTGGTTCTGCCCCCAAGACCATGGCATACCACCTGGATGAGGGCGTGTATGGAATCTTCAACTCAGTCCTGTTTGACAACACCTGCCCTGCCCCCGTACTGCAGAAGGTGAGCCTACCCCACGGGGGCCTGTTTTCAATTGTGTGGGTGAGTTTAAACAACGCTCTGTGTGTGTTATCTAATTTTTAAAAAGTAAAACATATTCATTGTAGGAAGTAGACAACAAGGATGAAGAAGGTTCTCACTCATAATTCCAACACATAGAGATGGACTTTTTGAACATTAGATTTCTTTTCTGTCTTTAAAAAAATGTATTATACTTTTTCCCAATAAGGTTAGGGTCATATTGTTTTTGTAAACTGCTTTTTTTCACTTATATGGGGTGTGTAGCTCTTTCCATGACATTAATTTGACACAGGCTTTTTGATGACTGCAGAGTATTTTTACCAATCTAACTCAAGCGGTTGGCCATTTGGTTTCCTGTTTTTGAACATTGTAAGTATATCTTGACATCCATCTTCAATCATTGCTCTGGGGTAAATTCCTAGAAGTAAAAAGAAACAGTTCCTCTTTAATAGTTTTTTTCATATTAACAAGGGAACAATAATAGGCAAAACATTTCTTCTAGCCTTGGATCCAGCCCTGGATTAAGGGGAAGAAAAGGGAAAGACAATCAGACACACTTTGTATTTTCACACCTCCTGGCTTTTGTTTGTGTGGTAGCTCTTCTGGGAAGGAATTTAAGTGCCTAACCAGCCCCTAGGTCATCGCAAGCTTTCAATAAGTGTTTTTTTTTCCCTTTCGTTTCCATTCTGTCTAGTTTTTCAAGGCCCAGTGTCATCCCCTCTTTAAGCTCTTCCTGCCGCTCATCTGCTGCAGGCACAGGGAGCCCCTCCCCGCTTCCCTCCTACAGGCGCCAGCATGATGAGTCCTCATTCCATAGTTGTGTTGTTAAATATGGTGGTATGTGAATGCCTGTCTAGTAAGCCTACCTCATGTGCTCAGGAATTGTTTTCTACTGTGATGCACGAGCATTGCCTGCATTCCTGTGGGATCCCACATCCTACTGCACCCAGAAAGGACCAGGCCAGCCTAGGCCAGCCAAGCCCCAGGTTATACAGCAGGCAACAACTGCTTCCCAGTCCCCCTCCCCCTTCCAGTACCCCTTTTCCTGTTATATGCCATCCCTGACCCACTCCCCATTCCCTTCATCAGCTGAATAGTTAAGCAGGACTACGGTCCCAGCCCACTCCCTCACCCCCTACCCACTACTTCTGTGTTTTGATTAATCTCCAGTTGGTGTTCCTGACTTGGGCCCCAGAATGTTACTGACCTTCTTTGTGGTCTGTGTTGCTTCTCTGGATGATGGTGAGGATTTTTCCTTCGGGCTGTCAACTACTTACTGAGTCCTGTAATGTGACCATATCCAGGGTGGGACCCACAGTCTGGTTGTGGAGACAGACATTGTATAAATGATAGCACATGTGATAAGCTAGCTGCAACTGTGCTGGAAGTGTGTCAGAGGGGCCCAGACTGGCGGGGGGTTTCTGTGCCCTCTTTCCCAACGAAGGTTCCCTCATTAGTCATTATGGCATCTTTGCACCCCTGTTCTTTGCTCCCAGGAACTTTGCTTTTGGACCTCAGATATAAAGTTGTATTAAATATAATCCTTGGTTAAAGGTATCTTTCTCATCATTGGAGCATGCTTGGCCCCGTTTTTGTTTTTGTTTTTAATTCAACGTATAGTTGAGTTCCTTCAATATGCAAAGCATTGTGCTGAGGTCTGCTGGGTAGAAACACGTGTGTGTGTGTGTGTGTGTGTGTGTGTGCACGAGAGAGAGAGAGAGAGAGAGAGAGAGAGAGAGAGAGAGAGAGATTAGTATACAAGTTACAACAGTGTCAAGAGAAAATATGAAAATAACTACAGAACAAATATTAGATTTTCTTCAAAGATATTTTAGTATGTGTTGCTAAATGACAAGGACTTAAAAAAATCACAATACTCTCATCAAACTAAAAATTGAACAATTCTATAGTATCCCCCATCATCCAGTCTGTGTTCAGATATCCTCAACTGGCTTATAAATGGTTTTTATAGTTGATTTGCTGAAATCAGGAGCCAAAGAAGATCCATACATTCCATTTGGTTGATTTGTCTCTCTCAACCAATTGGTTTCCCCAATCTCATTTTTTAAAATTATATTTTATTTGTTGGTGAAACCAATTTGTTGGTCCTATATTTTCCTGCATTCTGAATTTTTCTGGGTGGTGATTTCCCTTCAGTGTAATTGAATGTTTTTCAGTGCCCTGTGTTTCTTTGAAACTAGGTAGTTAGATTTAATGGGTTCAATAGATTCCCAATGTTTTCGGATAAAAATGCTTCATGGGAATGGAGGTCTTGGCTTTTTTTTTTTTTGGTGTAGTAAGCATTCTTACCATTTACTACCTCATCCCTCTGTCTCTTCCCGTGCAAAGTAACCACTATTTCTACTCGGGTTGTCTTTTCATATAGTTTTTTTTTCTTTTATGTATAGATATAACTATATATAAAACTATATATGTAGTTTGTTTACTGTGGTAAGAACACTTAATATGAGCTCTACCCTGCTGATAGATTTAGAAGTGTATAATACAGTGTTTGTACAAAGGCACAGTGTTGTACAGCGGATCTCTAGAACTTAATCATCTTGCAGAACTGAAATTTTATGCCTATTGATTAGCAACTCCCCATTTCCCCCTCCTCTTGGCCCCTGGCAACCACAATTCTATTCTTTGCTTCTGTGAGTTTGACTATTTTAGTTAACTCACATAAGTACAATCATGTAGTATTTGTTCTTCTGTGACTAGCATATTTCAGTTAGCATAATACCTTCCACATTCATCCATGTTGTTGTGTATTGCAAGATTCTTTTTTTTATAAGGCTGAATAATATCTCGTGGGATGTGCATACTGTATATTTTTTATCCATTCATCTGTTAGTGGACATTTAGATTCTTTCTACATTTTGGCAATTGTGAATAGTGCTGCAATGAACACAGGAGAGCTAATATCTCTCAGATATCCTGATTTCAATTCTTTTGGACATATACCCGGAAGTGGGATTGCCGGATCAGATGGTAATACTATTTTTAATTTTTTGAGTCACCCCCATACTGTTTTCCATAGTGGCTGCACCATTTTGCATTCTCACCAGGGTCCACTTCTCCACAACCTTGCCAACACATGTTGTCTTTTGTTTTTTTGATAATAGCCAGCCTAACAGGTATGGATGATATCTCATTGTGGTTTTGATTTGCATTTCTCTTATGATTAGTGACATTGGGCATCTTTCTATATACCTATTGACCATCTGTATGTCTTCTTTCCTATCATTTTATCACATCCGATGTATTCCTAAAATGTATTTATAATTTATTCTACTTATTTTCTACTTTACACAAAGGGTGTTATGATGTATATAACCTTTTTGGACTTTTTCAAAACCTTAATATCACAGTCTTAAGTTTCCTCAATACTGCTGTCTGTCTCTACAGCTCATTCGACTATATTGTATAATACTCTGTTGGTGAATATGCTGCAGCTTATTCGTCCACTCTCATTTGGATTGTTTCTAGGTATTTGCTACTGTGAATACCGTAGCTGTGAATATTCTTGCTAACATCTCTGTGACACATGAGCCAAGGAGTGGAATTGCCGAGCATAGGGCATGCGAAGGTTTAGCTTTATGAGCTCATACCAGACTGTTTTCCAAAGTGGTTGTAATAATTGACAAACCCACCAGCAGTGTATAAGAGACGGGGTGGATCTACGTTTCCCCAATGCTACCAGCACCACCACCACCACCACCAATAACATGTAATCTGTGCGATTAAAAAGAGATTTCAGTTATGATTAGTTTCATCTGATCAAATTACATGACTTGAACAGGATATAGAGGCTTGTGTCACTTTCATGTTAATGTCTAGATGCAGGCAATTCAGAACTGTATTATGGTTTCATAGTCATGTGAAACCATATAGCTTCTCACTGTACCTTTTTCTACCTGTTGCCCTCATCTTGGCTGGTACAAATTGAAGCTCCAGACATTTAGGAAAGAAAAGATGAAGTCTATGTGCCAGTTGCCTTTTAAGGAAATTTCCTGAAAGTAGCTACATAAAACTTAGGCTTTTGTCCCATGGCCATAACTACCTGCAAGGGAAGTTGGTCTTTATTCTAGATTGTCATGTGTCCAGCAAAAAATGAGAATTAGAATTGCTGGGATAGGCAACTAGCAGCTTCTGTCACAAATAAGATCAAATAAAAACACTGGATAGCAACTTGTTGTATTAAGGTTTGGAATTTTTTGAGAGGAAGGTAAAGATATTGATTAATTTTAGACTTGAAGTTAGGTGTGCATGTTATAATGTGAGTATCTAGAGTAACCGCTAAAATAATAGAAATAATGTCATTTCTAACGTTGAGACTAATTAAAATATTTTAGTTTGGACACCTGCATAAAGAAATAGACCAGTAAAACATAGTTGAGAACACAGAAAGGACTCACACATTTCTGGAAACTTGAGTTTTGACAGGACTTGCAAAGCAGATCAGTGGGGATCGTTTAATGTGTGATGCTAGAACACCTGACTGTCCATATGCAAAAAAAAAAAAAAGAAAGAAAGAAATTAGATCTCTATTTCACACCATACATAAATATAAATCCCAGAAACCAATATAGGAGAATATCTATTTGACCTCAGAACAGGGAAGCACAGTGAAGAACATCTTAAAAACCAAAAAGAAAAAGACAACATTAAAGAGAAGAACTTCTGTTCATCTGTTAGCAAAAGGCAATCGTGAAGTGGATGAAAATATTGAAACACATATATCATTGATAAGGGATTAGTAGACAGATTATATGAAGGATTCTTTAAGAAATAGACAAATAATCTTAAGAAAAAAGCAATATGAAATACAAAGCAATAGAAATAGGGGCAGAAGATTTCAACTGGCAGTTCACAGAAGAGGAAAACCAAATACAAGATGAAAAGCTGTTCGACCTCAGTGGTAACCAAGGAAATGCAAATTGAAATGAAAATGACCATTTTATACTGACTAAATAGAAAAGAGTTTAAAGCATGACAGTATGAAGTGTTGGTGAAGATATAGAGTAGTTGGATCTCTTAGACACTGCTAGGTGGAGGTTGGCAAAACTACTTTGGCATTATTCAGATAAAGTTAAATATGTGTATACCTTTCGGCAAGTTCCTAGGTATATATTGTAAAGAAGCTCTTGGCATATGTGTTTGAGGAGATATATAAGATTGTACACAGGAACAATTTTTATAATATAAAACATTGGAAACTACCTTATGTTTATTGGTAAGGTGATACATAAATAAGTTACAGTGCATTCCATATAATGGATTCTATGCAGTATATTGCAAATTCTGGCTATATGCATCAGTTGTGTGAATCTTGGGAATGTAATTTTCAACAATGAAGAAGCAAGTTGCAGAAATTACATACTCTATAATTCCATCTACATAAATTTCAAAAGTGTACAAAACTAAATTCCATATTGTTTAAGGTTAGGTATACTCATGGAAAACAAAGTAAAGCAAGAGAATAATGAAAACAAAATTCAAGATAAGGGTTACCTCTGGAGGGGCTAGAGAAGGGGCATGTCATTGGAGTGGGTTTCAAAGATACTGAAAATTTTACATTTCTTTAGCTGGGTGGTGGGGACACAGATATTCATTTTATTATCATTCCCTACAGCTTGCACATGATACATATATTCTTTTGTATGAGTTAAAATATTTAACAAAAGTTTGAGTCTGTCATTGCTTATTAATATATCCTTTGATAGGCTCCCATTTTTTCTTTATCGTATTGTTTCTAACATTTAGAAAAATCTCTTGGGGGTTTTAATTAGAAGTAGTTTTTTTAATCTATTTATGAAATTGGGAAGAATTCTCTTTTTTGCTTTACTAAGTTTTTCCAGTTAGCTGAGGGTCTTATATTTTATTTCTCCCATTAAGTTTTTATTATTTTCTTTGAATAAGTATTATTGTGGCCCAAGTACATCCAAGAATTTAATAACTTAATGCTTTTATTACTATTGTGAGTGGAAGCATTCCCCTGTGTTTTTGAGCTGAGACACTGGCTTGCACGTTGAAACTCATTGATTTCTTCTAAAAATTAGACCTCTCCCCTTTGGATTTTCCAGGTGGGCAAACATGTTATCCGCAATGTGATATTTTATTCCTTCATTTTCTCTATATTATATCTTTTTGTTTCTTTTTTTCTAATAGCTATTGCCAGCATTTCTCATGATATATAAAATAGGAATGATGACAGAAAGTCTCAGACTTGGATCAGAAGACAAGGGTTTGAGTCCTGGCTCTGCCATATACTAGCTGAGTAACATTAGGCAAGTTATTTAATCTCTCTGAGCCTTGTTTCTCTCATTTTGTCATCTGGAAAATGAGGGGACTGAACTCAAATTAAGGTTGTTTTTGGTTCTGAAATGAGGCCATTCTAGTGTATCTCCATTAAGTTAGAGTTGCGTCATTTTAAAATACTCTTTATTTTGGTGTTTTGTTTTATTTGCAGTTTAAATCAAGAATAGATGCTCTAGGCTAATGAATGCCATTTTGATGTGTTTTGAGAAAATTAAATTTGAATTGTAGATCTTTATTTACCATATTATGATAAAACCATATTGTCCTCGCCTTCTATTTTAGGGATAAATTATCTGATGATTGAAGATTGTTCTTTGATTATAAGTGTGGATTTAGTTAGCCAAAGTTTCATTTTGGATTTTTGCCTATATGTCCACAAGTGAGATTTTGACCATATGTTTGTCCTCTTTTTTTTTCCTTTTTATTTTAAAATATTTTTTTGTTGTTGTTTTAAAATATTTTTGTACACTTTATGTTGTTTGGGAATTATTGATCTATTCTTTAAAAGTTGGGGAATTACATCAGGGCCATGGGCCATTTCACTTGTTTGCCCTTGTTTCTTCTGTGGATCCGCTCACATTTTGGGCCTCTTTGAGAAAGGCAGCCAGCTGGGTGCAGCTATGAGACTTCTTGTCTGGGGCTACTCAGAGTTCTCAGAGTTCTGATACTAACTCCCTCCAGAACCTGGAGCAGGTCACTACCTCTCTCTGAGTTTTCTCATCTGTAAAATGGGAATTGCAACAGCCTTCCAGGTGACATGTAAAGTAGTGGTGGGCATGCTTTGTAAACTAGGAACCCCCTGCCCTCTCTCATAGAGGAGGCCCAGTAGTAGACTGGGTATTTTGTATTTTTACAGGTGTTTGTCCATGTCCACTCAGTTTTGGAACTTATAAACAGCTGAGACTTACAAGCCTCTTGCTACATGCTTATGGAATATGTATTTTGCAGATTCCTTTTTTGTTTCCCTTTTTTTAAAATGGCTTTAAATAACAAAAGGGTAGCTTTGCATTATTTCCTGTGAAGTTTAAAAATCTTTTCTCCACTTATTTTTGTCGTTGTTGTTTATACCATGAATAAGAAGTGAGAGACTCTAACTTACAAATCAAGGGTGACTTTTTTTTTTTTTTTACCGCTTTATTGTAGTGGAACATTTGAAACCTCTTTTTTCAAGGACCTTTGTTGGTACATTTATATAGCATCTCCCCTCCTACCATCTTTAAAAGTTAGCTTAATGTTTTTTAATGATTGAAGCTAAGGGAAATAATTCAGAGCAATGGAGATTTTTACTCATTAACAAAAAAAGCTTATAAACAAGATGGTTTTTATATGAACAAGAATATATTTGTTTGTCTTCCTTTCCTAGAATGTGAGCTTCCTGAGCACAGGAACTTTGTTTTTTTGTGTGTTCACTGGTGCATCCCCATCTTCTAGGTCAGAGCCTGGCACATAGTAGTAGGTGCTCAATAAGTATTTGTTGAATGCGTGAATAAATGAATGAATATAGGATAATTCTCACTATTGATTTTAACAACCTATGCATGTTTTTATTAATGAGACTAGTGGCTTATTAATTAACTTTTTATCAAATATGTGATCGTTATTTCCGCTTGTGGAACCTGTGGCTTTTCTTTTAGTTTTACTCATTCTTGCTGCTGCCTAAGGTGTTGAAACGCCTTTCTTTTTTCCTCTATTGGTCTTCTCTGCTGCCCCCTTCTAGGCTTTTGGATGACTTCTATTCTTATCTTCTTTTTCTTTCTTGCTCTTTCTCTTTTTCATTACTCATTCCCATTTATTCATTCAAAAGATGTTATTCAGAAAGCACCTACTGTATGCCAGAATGCTAGACATAGAGGAGATGGGGGTAAAGAAGACTGTCATGATTTCTGAGCTCATGGAATTTATAGTCTGAGAGGGAGAACAGGTCTGAGCAGATACATTTCACAAATACCGAATTATAAATTATGGTAAATGCTCTGAAGGCAAAACTTGGGAGTGCATGCATGGAGTTTTAGGAAAGGTTTCCATGAGAATGTTTTAGCTGAGATCTAAAGAAAAATTAGAAGTTGGCAAGTTTGGGGCCTCAAGGAATAGCATGGAGAAGGCTAAGGGTTGGGGAAGGGAAGCAGGGTTCACCTGCAGAACCCAGAGCAACCAGAATAACTGCAACACAGTGAGTGTAGCAGAAAGTGGAGTGAGGGGCCGGCCACAGAGGGCACATTCAGGATTCACTCATGTCCATCTTTCAGGCATGACTACTCCTCTAGGACCTTCGTGGTAGGATCCCCCATATTGTGACAAATTGCATTGATATCTTGGTCATCTGCAAATGGTCGGTGTTACAGATTTCTTTTCTGGATTTGGAAGTAATTTAAGACAATTTTTAATTTAGTGTGATCGGTAGTTGAATCTTTGGGCAAGTCACTTAACCTCTCAGAGCCTCAGTTTTCCTGAAATGGGAATAATTATATCTACCCCATGGGGGCCTCTGCCAGGTCAACCTGTTGGAGTCCTGTCTTCCTTACCTGAGAGCCTGCGGGAGGGTGGGTGTAACTCATTTGTGTATTCTGGCTCCTGTGACCAGGTGTTTCATGGAATAAAGGGATTTGGGAGGCCTTCATGGAAGAGGGTACCCCAGGGTTGGGCCCAGGGGACAAGCTGGATTTGAGGAAGGGAGCAGGGCTGTAGAGGTGTGGACAGTGGCAGATTAGCTAGGGAAGACTGAAACAGAGAGGTGGTAGCCATAACAACAGTAACAATGAGAGTGCTGTCTTACTGGATCCTCGCCATGTGCCAGACACTGTTCTAAATGCTTTATATATACTCATTTAGCTTTTCAGTAACCCTGTGAGGTAGGTGCTGTTATTATTCCCATTTTATAAGGGAGCAAATTGAGGCACAGCGGGATTAAGAATCTTGCCTAAGGTCACACAGCTAGCAAGTGCTGGAGCCTGAATTTAAGACCAAGCATTGTGGCTTCAGAGTATAAGAGGTAATGAATGCAGGGAAGTGGGAGGGCCTTAAATGCCAGGCCAGGGGGCCCATTTAGTCTTTATCCTATTGGCTGTGGGGGCTGTGAAAGGCCTTTGAGGGAGGGCTGTGCACGGTATGCTCAGGAAAGCTGAATGTGGCCATCCTCTCTTCTGCAGAAACCGTCTACAGAGCAGCCCCTGCACAGCAGCAGCCTGTGGGGCCCGGTGGTCGATGGCTGTGACTGCGTAGCTGAGGGCCTGTGGCTGCCGCAACTACACGTAGGGGACTGGCTGGTCTTTGAGAACATGGGCGCCTACACCGTGGGCATGGGTTCCTTCCTCGGGGGAACCCAAACCTGCCGCATCACCTACGCCATGTCCCGGGTGGCCTGGTAAGGGGGCCCTGCTAGGAAATGGAGTTGGGGGAGGAACAGGGAGCAGGTTGGGCAGAAGCAATGAGGGAAACCTGAGATTTGAGACCCTGCTTCTGCGAGATTTGAGACCCTGCTGATCCCAAGTGAGGCCTGTGCTTGGCACGTGGCTGTGGCTGTGAATGAGACCGAACTTCCCTTGAGGAGCTTGGAGCCTGTGAGAGAGACAGAGAAGCAGACAGGACTCCTGATAATTCTGTGTTGGGTGGAGGGGACGGGCTATGGAAGCTCAGATTCCTCCCTGAGGCCCAGATCCACTTCCCTGAGGAAGGAAGGGTCAAGTCAAAGCCTGGTAAATGAGCTAGAGTTGGGCAGTAGGAGGCAGGAGGGGGGTTCCAGGCAAAGGGAACACAGAGCAAGCATGCCGCCTTCATGAAACTACGCAAGGTTGGTCATGGCTGGAGAAGGAGCAGGGCTGGATCTGAGAAGGGCCTTGAGGGCTGAGTGAAGGGCTTTGAGCGGCAAGTGGGAAGCATGGATTGGCTTGAAGCAGGGGAGCGACATGGTCTGACTTGGATTTTAGAAAGACCACTCTAGCTACTGTGTGGATTAAGGAAGGACAAGGTTGGATGCAGATAGAGCTGATCAGTCAAGTGGCTACTCTGTGACCCAGGAAGGACTTATACTCATTGAGCCTCGGTCTTCCCATCTAGAAAATGAACAGAACACGAACCCTGCTTGCCTCACCAGGCCAGCGTTGGGCTCCAGTGAGGGAAGAAGACGTGCAAGATGGGAGGAAAGTTGAGTTTATTGAACCCTTCTGTCAGGCCTTATGATTATTTCCTTTCACCCACACAAAACTCAGTAGGATCAGTGTAATCACAGACAGATAGGTCACTTGCTTGAGGTCACACAGCTGGTCAGTGGTGAAGAACCTCCTTTGGGCGTGGAGGGTAAAAGCAGTTGGGAGGGGCTTTTGTGCTAGGCACTTAGGAGTGAGTGCAGCCTGTGTCCCGAGGGACATTCTGGGTGCTTGAGGGTGCCCCAGGAACAGCACTACCAAACCCCAGGTCTGACTACCAAACCCCTGGTCTGACAGGGCTGAGTATCAAAGTTGCATTTCATTCGAGTCAACACACTTTTGTTATTTCTACTCCCTGCTGGGGCATGGGGTTGGCTAATGCAGCCATTTTCACATTGGGGATGTTTTGACAAGGCCCAAAAAACAAATGAAAAAGCCAAGCACCACGCAGCCTTCCTTATCCCATCCTGGCTCTGTCACCAGCAGACACAGGCAGATGAGACTGCAGGGAATCAGCCGCACTCATTACTAGGAGCACAACATTCTGATGTATTGAAATGGACATGCCAAAAAATTCGCCATATCACAGGGGCCTCACCAAAATGTCCTGCTTTAGAGATTGGCTCTGCACCTGGTCCTAGGGGTACAAGAGCATCTGAAAGCATGGTGAGCCCAGGAGCAGAACTGCACACAAGACATTTGTATAGAGGGTGGGAAGCAGACTGGGGAGGGGTGGTCAGGACTGCTTCTCAAGAGCTACAAGTGATGGGTAAGGAGGAGTCAGCAGGCACAGGAGGGCCAGGCAAGCTGACAGCAGGGTGGACCGGGCTGAGAGGTGTTGGGGCTTGAAAGAGTCCAGTTCATTCAAAGGAGTGCAGGTAGCTCTGTCTGGCTGGGGTGGCATATGTGGAAAACTAGATCAGGAAGGACCTGGGAGGCCCAGATTGGACTTGATCTTGAAGACAGTAGGGAGCCATTGAAGAGTTTTAAGAAACTGGACCAACCCATTTTAAATGATAAGGAGACAGAAGCTCAGACAGAGGGTGCTTGGCCTGGAGAAACTCCCACTTGGAAGAGAACAGCCTGACCGAGCTGTGTAAGGAGACTGACTACTGATTTATTGTTGAATTGTACACATTAGTAAAGAGGGAGGCCTTCCTGCAGGTGGGGACCGGAATGGGCTGGAAGAATGAAAGAAGGAAAGGGAAGATCTAGATGGAAGAGAGAGGGTCTTGTGGGGAAGCAGATCCCAGCAGAAGTAAAGGACAGGCTGGCATGCCTCCTTCCTCCAGGCCTCTTGGCACTGAACCCAGTACTATTTCCCTGTCCTCCCACCCAGGGTCCACCTTCCCCACCGATAAGTGCTTACTCTGATGGCCTGCAGACACCAGGCACTGAGTAACTCAGATATAGTCCCTGCCTTCCTGTAGTTGAAGGGCTGTCAGGAAAGCAGATACTGAACCCTTGTTGTTATCAAGGAGAAGTACATGGTGCTGTGGGACTCAGCGAAGGCATCCCTGAGATTCTATCACTGAAGCCGAGACCTGAAGGCTGAGGAGGAATTAGTAAGGGTTGATGAGGCAGGTGGAGGCCCAAGGCCTGGGATGGGACATGCGTGAGCCTGAAAGGTGGCCGCTGTGGATGGCACCCAGGCAGTGAAGATGGGCATGGTGGGAGAGGCTGGCTGAGGCCAGAACTATAGGGGCCTGGGAGCAGAGGGAAGCTTCTAGTGACTCAAGAGCAGGGATTTACTGTTTAGAAAGATGACCCTGGGCCAGAAATGTCTAGAGGAGACAGGAGCAGTTCAGGGAGACTGTGCCTTCCCAGCTAGAGATGGTGGTGGCAGCGGGCATGGAGAGAAGCGGGTGCCTGTGAGGGTGTTCAGCAGCTGGGCTTGGCAGGGATCGACTGGGTGTGGGAATAAGGTTCCCAGCTTGTGGCTGATCAGACGGTGGAGCCACGGAACAGCATGGTGGGCAGGAGGAGAAGGTTTGTAGGCTTTTTGAGTGGGGCAGGAGATGATTCTTTTTTAAAGTCCCAAGCCTGGTACGTGAAGAATGTGGGAGTGAGAGAGTTGGGTTGACTCCTAGTTCTACCACTTTCTAGAGATGTGACTTTGGGCAGGTCACCTCCTTCTGAGTCTCGATTTCCTTATCAGTAAAATGGGGATGATAATGTAGCCCTTATGGGGTTTTGGGGCGAATACACTTAGATAATGTAAGTAAAGTGCCTGGCACAATGTCTGGCACATAGTAAGTGCTCAATAAATGTGAGTTCCTTTCCTTGCTATGGGGGTAGACTATGAAGAGGGAGAGAGAGGGGTCAGCAGGCCCTTGGCTGGGCTCTAGGGTTCAGGTGAGAAACATATATGCAATGGGGCCAGGTCTCCTGGTACAGGGCCATCAGCAGTCCCCAGCCTGCGGACTCCACGATGGCTGCCTCCAGTGCCTCTCTCTCACCTACAGGGAAGCGCTGCGAGAGCAGCTGCTGCCTCCAGAGCAGGATGAGGACGCTGAGGGTGTGTGCAAGCCTCTGTCCTGCGGCTGGGAGATCACAGACACCTTGTGTGTGGGCCCTGTCTTCACCCCAGCGAGCATCATGTGAGCGGGCCCCGTTGCCCCCCCACCCTGAGAACCCAAGCGGGGCCACAGATGCCTCTGGGAGAGGTGGGAAGGCGGCAAGCAGAGCATCCTCTGGCCAGGACTCTGGTGCTCGGTCTGCCGCCCCACCCCATGCTCCACCTGTAGTGTTTCTGCCCTGTAAATAGGACCAGTCTTACACTCGCTGTAGTTCAAGTGTGCAACATAAATCCTGTCCCTTCCAGCTGTGTCCGCCTCCTCTGCAGCGCAAAGGGCCTGGTCAGCCAGGTGTGGGGTGTTCTTGGGGTCTCCCGTGGTCTCCTGCACACCTCTGTAAATATGAAGCAAATAAATATTTAGGTTTTTTTAATACTCCAGTGTAATTGGAAGTTCAATTCACAAAGGAACCTGGGCTAAGCCAGGGGCGAGACTTCTCTACCCACGCTGAGGCCCCGATGGCCTCTGCCTCAGTCCTGACCTGGCTGCAGTGTGGGTGTCTCCCACTGGCACCGGCTCCTCTGACTCATCTCTCTCCTCTTCCTACCTCCATGCCTGGCATCATGAGGAAGGGTGACTGTCAGGGGTTGAAGTGGGGTCAGAGTTGCTGTAACTCATGACTGCCAGGGGTCTCTGTGTGAACCTAACATGCAGCCTAAGGCCTGACCCAAAGTCAATCGAACATTTGACACCGCTTTGGAAATTTATACCAAAGATAAAGAGCGAAGAGATGGGTGTCTGGGAGCTTTTGAGGAGACCCTACTACCTCACTCCCCTGGCAGCTCTGCAAGGCAATAAGAGTAATGCCAATCAGTGGTGGTTGGTTTTGCTTATTGAGGCAGTAAACTGTTAGGACAGTGTTGGCCACAGAGTATTGCCACATCCAGTGCAAGGGCACTGAAGTTGATGTCTCCTCAGACTTTAACCCGGCAAACGCTACTTCGCACTGCGAGGGTCCCAGGCTGTGCACCTACTTAGCAAAGGAGTTCAGATTTTAGACTTTGTCTAGCTGCTACAGGTGACCCAAAAGATTTTTCTTCTGCAATCAAAAAACAATCGAGATATAATTCACATATTTTAAAATTCATCCTTTTAAAATGTAGAATTCAGTGATTTTTAGTGTATTCATAGAGTTTGTACAACCATTACCACTATCTAATTCTAGAACATGTTCAGCACCTCAAAAACAAACCCTATGCCCATCAACAGACACTCCCCATTTCCCTCCTCCCTCAGCCCCTGGCAACCACTAACCTACTTCCCTTCTCTATAGATTTGCCTATTCTGGACATTTCATTTTGATTTTTTATATACTCACTTGAGCATCTTCTGGGTAAGCCTGGTACAATGAGTTTTTTCCACTTCACCCAGCAATTCTCTACCACCAGCTGGGTGTCCGATGATTCAACTCAATTCTGACAATATCTACCTGGAGATAGTTCCAGATCCCACAGGTTAAAGGCTCTAATCCTAAAAGATGGCTCCCCCACCCCCACCACCAGCTGGGTGTCCTATGATTCAACTCAATTCTGACAATATCTACCTGGAGATAGTTTCAGATCCCACAGGTTAAAGGCTCTAATCCTAAAAGATGGCTCCCCCACCCCCACTCCCCCCACTTCAGAGGCAAATTGCCAAGTCCAGGTTGTCATCTGTGCTTCTGACACACCAGCTATAGATTAGAGGCTCTAAGAACCCCCTTTACTCACTGGATTACCAGTTTATTATAAAAGGATCCAACTCAAGAACAGCAAGATGGAAGAGATGCACAGGGCAAGGTATGGAGAAAGGGCATGGGACTTCCATTCCCTCTCTGAGCATTGATATGTGCCCTCTCTCAGCACCTCCATGTGTTCACCAATTCAGAAGTCCTCCTAACCTTGTCCTTTTGCATTTTTCATGGAGGCTTCGTTACATAGGCATGATGAAATCATTGGCCACTGGAGATTGAAGTCAATCTCCAGCCTTTTCTTCCTCCCTGGAGGTTGGAGGGTGGGACATAACAAAAGGCACCCTTATCACTCTCATCATTTAGGAGATTCGAAGGATTTTGTGCCAGGAATGGGGATGAAGATCAAAAATATATTTCTTAATATAAATCATCATATCACACCTGGCCATCCTGTTTTCAGTATCTCAGCCAGTCTTGGGTCATACATGTGGCTTCGACATCATCTAAATGAGGCAATGTGTTGTGAGTAAACTAGGTGCTTGTCAAAAGCACAGGCGTCTCCCTTTTCCAGGCTGGGCCTTGTTTTGGATACTTTGACAATAAACAAGCTGAAAGCTCAGGACACCAGGAGATCCAGAGAACAATTTAGAGTTATTCTACTGCCCTTTTGTTCTTTATCCAAAGCTCTGTTTTACATATTACGGTGCTGGGCTCAGCCCTCCGTCTATGAGACTATTTCTGTGACTTCTGTTTTGATGCCCAAGTAGATCTGGACCCATTCATGCTTTTTGGGGGGAGGGTAAGAGGGCTGCAGTGAGATCCAGGCCAAAATCAGTATCTTGCCTGAGGCAGATCTGGGGAGAGCCCTCTGTAGCTTTTAAAGTGACAGCAGCTGGCAGAGTTTGAACAGATTTCTCACTGGAACCTTTCAAGTGTTTCATGTTCCATTTGCTGCAAGAATGTGAAATTTACTTTTCTGAGAAAGGTATACACAGAACTTGATATGACTTACTTGAGAATAATAAACAGGCATTTCTTTTCAGTTATTTTTGTTTATTTCTATCTTTTTCTGAAGAGAAAGAAGGAAAAAGCATTAAATGCGTGGAGAATGTTGGAGAATGTTAACCGGTTTCAGGCCCGTACAGGGGATCTGACCAGGGACCTCCTAGAGTCCTGACTGCACTGGCATTTGCCTCCATAGAGCAGCTCCCTGAGCAATCCACTGACAGTGGACCTCATGCCATTCTGGCTGCTCCAGAAGTCACTTTCTTGTTGGCCTCTCGCAGACCCATCCTGCCCTGGGACCTCACCTAAGGGATATCCTCCTCCCAACACCTCCCCACAACCCACCTGTTCCTCCTGACACTCTCTTGTGTGCTCATTCACTCTGGGAGGGTAACAGACTTGCTACCGCCCCAGGCCAAGCCACCATCCTCTCTCACCCAGGGGCTGCCCCTCGCAACACTTTCCCTCTCCAGTCCATTTCACGCAGCAGCCAGATCCCGTCACTGCCATGATCCCCATTTCATCAAGAATAAAATGTAAAGTCCTGACCCAATTACCCCTCTGGCTCCATCTTTCCCTGGTTTCTCACCACTCCTGGGCACACTGGCCTCTCTATTCCTTACTATTATGCATGGCACCCGTGCCGGCTGGGCCTGCATATATTGTCCTGCCTTGGGAATGATCTTCCCAGGTTATCTGTGGGGCTCGTTCACTCCATTCAGGTTCTGCTCAAATGTTTTCTTTAGGTGGCGCCTTCTCTGATTGCCCTTTAGAAAGTGGCACTTTCCAGTGGGTTAAGAAAACCACTTAACTGGGTTTCTTCTCCATGGCACCTATCACCACTCGACATACCTGTTTGTCTGTTTATTATCTGCCAACCCCCCAACCCCAGAATGTGAGCTCTTTGGCGGCAGGAACCTTATTTTTTTCACCGCTATTTCCTCATCACCTAGAACAAAGTAAGTGCTCAAAAAATGTATGCCAAATGGACAAATGGATAAACCTACCACTTAACCTGTCAATCTTTTTATTCATTTGTAAAATGTGGCTGCTAAATATACTTCCCTCAGAAGGTTATTGTAAGGATTAAATAAGAAAATGAGATAGAGTACTCAGCCCAGCAGGGCCTAGCACATCATTAGGTGCTCAATAAATGATCTCGAAAGGTAATTCTTTGAGCATCTGTTGAACACTTACTGCGGCCATGTCCTATGGTAGATGTGGTGATGCAGGTGGAGTCCTTGTGAGTCTTCGAGGAACTCACAGTGCAGTGTACTCATACAGGGCCTTAGATAACAGAGCCAGCAGTTTGAACTTAATTCTGTAGGCAGTAGGGAACCCAATATAATTCTGGAGCAGAAGCATGACACAACCTTTGAGAAGATAATTGAAGGTGTATTAAAAAGGGACAGAGGAGTCTACGGCCATGCTACCCTGAACAAGCCTGATCCCGTCTGATCTTGGAAGCTAAGCAGGGTCGGGCCCGGTTAGTACTTGGATGGGAGACCACCTAGGAAAACCAGGTGCTGTAGGCATAAAAAGTAAAAAAATAAGGGATTGTAAACTGACAAGGTCCTTGTAATCTGTGAAGTCAACCAAGGGTTGCCTTGCCTAAAAAGTAAATATATTAAAAAAAGGGACAGAGGGAGACCTGGTGGCTGGTGGTAGCATGCACTCTCCTTCACTCCCAGTCTGCTTTGGGAGGGCCTGGCCTGGGAGCCTGATGGGGGTCTGAGGGATACAAATTATCATCTCTGTCCACCCCAGCTCAAGAGGGAGATAGTAGCTCTGGGTGGGTGTCATCCCTCCCCTAGGAAACCCACCTGCCCTAGCCACCTCATTCCAGCCATAAAGAGACCATACGGCAGGCAGTTCCCACTCAACTATTTGCTCTATTTTAAACCCTCTCCTGGGTACCTCTGGGACGAGCAGCTAAGCCTGAACAAATTTGACCAGCAAAATTATCCCATATAGCCTCCTAGTGGTCAGAGGGATTTTTTCACAAAATGTGCATCTGATCTTGTCAGTCTTCTGAAAACCCTTCAGTTGATTCCGTTGTGATGCCAATAAAAGTTAAATTGCCTGAGAATTCCACCCACTTGTTCAGTCTTCTCTTGTGCTTTTTTTCTCACCGTGCTCCAGCCTATTGGCCTCTTTTCAGTTCTTCGTATTTCCCTAGCTCTTTCCCGCCTCCTGACCTTTGTGCTTGCTGTTCCCTCTGCCTAAATAGCTCTTCTTCCAGCTTTTCCAGGGAGAGCTCATTCTCATCATAAAGGCCTCAGTTTAAATGTCACCTTCTCAGGAAGGCCTTTTCTGAACACCCTATTCAAAGTGGCTCCCCATCTAGTTATGTGGAGTCACATTTAATAGGACTTAAAGATTCTAAAGATAATATTTAAGGCAAGAAAACACATCATCAAAAGTATCACTAAAATCCCTTAGAATGCTATCATATTGGAGGTAGTACATCACTCTCCTTTCTGTTCCTCTGACAGACACATTTTCTAATAACCCCAAATACCCTCATGATCTCTCTCCCTCATCCCTTCAGGTCTTTGCTGGAATGTTACCTTAGTGAGGCCTTCCTAACCATTCACTTTAAAACTGTAACTCTCCCACTCCCATCCCAGCATTCCATAATCCCTTTAGTAGCCTTACTCCCACCCCTCACAGACCAGCATCTGTCATACATTTTATTTAGAATTAAGCTCTCAGAGGTAGAAATTTGTTTTGTTCACTGCTGTGTTCCCAGTGCCTAAAACACTGCCCTCCACATAAATGTTCAATAAATAACTGTTGAACGAGTCTTTCAGGACTTAGATTGGGTAACTCTCCCTCATCCCTTACTCTCTGCCTTGGTTAGGTATGGCTCCGAGCTTTCACAGCATCTTCCACTTACCCGTAGTAAAGATCTGTTGATCACAATGTATTATAATTTTTCTCTCTACTCTTCCTGCAATTCTATTAATTCCAAAAAGACAGGGAGTTTCTCCCTGTCTTGCCAGTGCCATCTGGAGCCTGGGTTTGTGCTTGGCACCGAGTAAGTGCTTAGTGCTTGAATAAATTAGACCTGGAGGATGGGGGGCTAACCCTGAATCCAGGAGGGGTGGATATCTGGCCCCTTCTCCTCAGCTCCTGAACAGCAGCCTAGATCCCGTGGAGGGCACATCACTGACTGGAACGGGCTGTGATTCTTGCAGGCCACTTCCAGTTACACCTACGAGTGCAGGTCCACATACTAGTGAGCCTTAAGTGGGGAGGCATGTAGACTGTCTCAATAGCTTTTTCTGTTCCACTCAGCTGTTGCGACCTTGGCCTGGAATTGCCAGATAGAATACAGGGCACCCAGATAAACCTGAATTCAGATAAATGACGGCTAATTTTTTCGTAAACGTTATGTCCGAGTACTATTTGAGATATTCTTATACTAAGCCATCGTTGTTTATCTGAAATTCAACTTTAGCTGGGTGTCCTGCATTTTATTTGCTAAATCTGGCAACCCTACCCTGCAAGTTTTTATCTTTCTCTAGGTTTCTTTTCCCCATCTGTGGACTAGGAATATTTCTGTTAAGGCTTGCCTCCTCAGGATAAGCAACTCCTCCCCTGCACCCCCTCCCCAAAGGACCACCTCTCTGCTCCGAGGAGTTGCGTGCAAGTGTGCTGGTCTCACTGAATGAATATGAGCGAACTCTTCCTCTAAGAGCTGTTTTCTCATTTGAGCATCCAAGACAATCAGGGGTGGCAACGGTACTTTTAACCACTGCCTCGCGGAACCTCGAACACTGAACTTCCAGCCGCCGGAACCTCCCCCAGCACGCCCCTCAAACTCTGAGGCGGAGGATTTCCGGTGGCGCAACATCACTTCCGCGTCCAAGAGTCTCCTAAGTTTCGAGCCACGAGCTCTCGCGCCCTCTGCCGGCCCGGAGGAGGGTCTGACTTTACCGATCAGAGATAAATGACAGCGAAATCCACTGGTTGGAAGACGGAGATGCAGCTCCCAGCCTCCACCAGAGGAAAACAGAACCTTTGCCGAGAGCAGGACTCCTACCGAAAAGGGGTCAGCCCGCAATGCAGGCGACGTGCAAAGGAGACGACTTGGCCTCTGCCCGGCTAGAAAGGCCGGAAGTAACCCTGGAAGTGGGCTTCTTGCCCTCTAACTACTTCCGCTTCCACTGGTGGAGAGGAGATGCACAAAGGTGTGCAGGTGGGAAGTAGCTTCAGTGTGTGTGTGCGTAGGGGGGCAACAATGATGATTAGGTGTGTTACTACCGCCTTCTAAGCATCTCTTGACTTCAGCTGCTTCTCGGTATCCCTGCTGCCACTGCTAAAATCCATCGCTGACATCTTTTATCTAACATTTGGATTACTTCAACTTCTCCTCACTGATCTCTCCAACTCTAGTCTCAACTCCTGTTTAGTCTGTACTTTAAGTAGAAGTCAGAGTGATCTTCCTAAAATGAAATTTTTATCATGTTTCTTCCTGGCTTGAATCTCTTCAGGGGATGCCCACTCTTTCAGATTGAAGCCATGACTTCTTAGCCAGGGCCTCCACAGTGCTGAGGGTCTAAACTTTTGCCGTCCATTATGTTTGCCACCAACTCATGTGGCTATGGAGGACTTGAAGTGTGGCTAGTCTGATCTGAGATTTGTTATAAGTGTGAAATATACCGCAGATTTCAAAGACATAGTTCAAAGAGAAGAATATAAAATTTCACATTAACATATTTTAATATTGACTACATACTGAAATGATAATATTTGTATATGTTGGGTGAAATACAATATATTATTAAAATTAATTTCACTCATTTCTTTTTACTGTTTAAAATGTGGCCACTAGAAAATGTAAAATTATATATATGATTCACATTATATTTATATTTGATTTTAGTTAAAGTTTTTTTCATTAAAAGTAACAAAAACTGAGTTTGAAAGAAAATGAAAATTAGAAGTTTGGGGGATTGATTGCAAGGGCCCTCTAAATCAAAGGAATTGTTGATTAACCTGTCTGGGAGCCTCAGCAGCAGAAATTTGCAGATGCTAATGTGGCTCAGCTCTGTTTCTGGGTCTTACATTCCACATTTCAAATGCCTAGGAAGAGAGAATCTGATTAGGTCAGTTTAAATCAGGTTTGTCTACTCCTGGATCAATCCACTATGGCTATGGGAAGGACTCATTGTGAACTGCCTACTGCACACTTCCCACCCCTGTCCTCTACCCATTATATTTCTAAAAGACAGCATGAGTTCTCTAACCTGTAGGAGCCAGCAGACTTTTTCTGTCAAGGGTCAGATAGTAAATATTGTATGCTTTGATAGTCATAGCATTTCTGTCACAACTATTCCAATCTGCTGTGTAGAGTGAAAGCAGCCAGAGACAATACCTAAATGAATGTATTGACTTATGTATTGTTGTGATTATGTTTCAATAAAACTTTATTTATAAAATCAGGAAGTGGACCATAGTCTGCCAACCCCTACACTATACTTGCTATTCCCTCCGACTTGACTATCTTTCCCACTTTCCTTCCAACAAGCCCATAGTCATCCTTCAGGTCTCAGTTTAAATGCTACTTCTTGGAAACTTTACTTAACCTTTCTCTTCTGACTGTTTAGTGGCCTCTTCTCTATGCTGCACTGACTTCTGTACCCCATCCAAGTGCTTTTCATACTCTGTTATCATTGTCCTGTTACAACCACTAGATTACTAGTATGGGTCTCATTTGTTGTTATAAGCCTAGCACCTGGCATGCCTGGCACCTGGTACACACTTGGGTATCATCAGATTAGTAGAAGAAGCTGTGAATCTGTGGCTGGTAGACAGAGCAGATGTCCTGAGACCTTAGGGCAGTGGTGAGAATTCTAGGCTTTTGTATTAGTGTGTGAGACTCACTTCCTCACTTTGTTGCCCATGTGAATCCCAGAGCTCAGGCAGTAGAGAATGGAGAAGGGAGGCTCCAGGTTGGGCAGGGGTCCAGGGTCCTGGCATTTTCTATGACAGCCAAGCTTTGCTTGTCAGGGGCTTTAAGTCTGTGTTCTCCAAAAAACACACAATAAGCTGAAACTCCATGACCTTGGGAAAGCACAGGCAATGTGAATATTTTAAGAAACGAGAAGTAGAAAATTCTAAGAATTGCAAGTTCTGGATAACGTGGTAAGTCATGCCCCAAATGAAGTGAAACCAAGAGTGTTCTCATCCAGTCCCTGGAGAAGGATGTCTTGCTTCTTAGTAAGGTTGCCTGTGGAGTCCCCACCAGGCTGTAGGGAGGTGGGGATCCAAGGGTGGTGATGGGGGGCAGTGTTTGGCCAAGGACAGCCTTGGTCCACACTCAGGGCCACAGTTACAGGGGCTGCAGAATTGGCTTTCTTGACTCAATGGTTGGTGAGTTAACATCCAATGGAAACTGAACAAGGGTATGGAAGACTCTGAGGCCACACAACGTGGTCATGGCCTCTGCAAGGCTTTATCTAGCTCAGTACCTCATCCCTTGTTGCCTCAAGAGAGTAAGAAGAGTTTCTCCTTTTGACTTAAGGGTTATATGTCACACCTTTGGGCAATATGGATATGATAGTGCTTTTCCAGAGTGTTGTGTACAATGACACTAAGAATAAAACAGAAATGGAACTCTCTGTCCTTGTGGTCCTTGAGTGGCTTACCTTATGGGGATAGCGGGCTGGGGTGAGTGACCTGAGACCACCGGCGACACGTCTTCCATAAGATGAGCTGACGACCAGCAGAGTGGATGAGGAAAGCAGGGCTGGAATGATGATTGCTGTAAGCCTGCAAGCCACCCATGTCTGGTGAAGGGATAGAGGCATCAGGGTAGGGGCAGTAGACTGCCTCCCCGGGGCAGGCTGTGCCCCTGCCCTCATCAGCCATGGCTTATACAACATTGGGGTCTCAGGACTAGAGGGAGCATAAGGGTATGGTGTAGGGCAAGAACATGTTTAGAGGCAAAGACTGAGTGACCTTGGGCAAGTGGCCAAGAGTTCTCTGCCCACCCAGTGTTTGGCACTTAGAAGGTGCTTGGTACATGGGAGAAAAGTGATAATAATAACCAAGTGCTTTATGTGCCTTGTCTTATCCAACCTGGCAAGCCACCTTGGCTATTACCATTTATCAGGTGGAGAAGCTGAGGTACAGAGGCTGGCTTGTCTCAGGTTAAAAAGTTAGTAAGGGTCATAGACAGGATTTGAACCAGGTCTGCATGCTTCCAGGCTTCATGCTATCCATGTGCTTCCCAACAAGCATGTCATGAATACCTACCATAGGACAGGCATGTGGCCCAACCCAATAGGACAACACCTGACACATGATAGCCCCTCAATAAGTTCTGGCCGTCATTAGGTATTATGATTGTCTTGACTCATTGGTCCTCCGAATGACTCTGCAAGGGTAGATATTATTATTTCTATTTTCCAGATGGGAAAACCGAGGCTGGTGAGGTAGCGTCTTGCTTAAGATCACTCAGCTCGTAAGTGGTTGGGGCCAAGATTCAAACCCAGGTTGACTCCCCTTTTCCCAAGTCAGCTAAGAGCTTAGGTAGCAGAGAAATCCAATACTTCCTTGGTTTATTCAGCTGAATAATGGGAAGGTGTCCTTGGGAAAGGAGTAAACAGAGAGAGCTGTAGAGGGCTATCCTATGGGAAGGAGACCACTATTGTCTGGGAGGTCCAGAGGACAGAGCAAGGACCAATGGAGACACAAGGGGATCCATATAAGGAAAACCTCCTAATTATTATTGTCCAGTTGTGGGATGGGGTGCTGCACAGCTAACAGGCTCCCTATCACCAAACATGTTTATCCAGGGATACCATGGTGCGGGAGACTGCAAGAATCAAATTCTAAGGGTTCTGTTGGTGCTGGGAACAATATGAGGGCTCTGGATCTTAATCCACAGAACTGCCAGCTTGCTGTGCCTGTCCTCTCTTAAAATGGACTGAGACTAAGTAATCCAGCTCTGAAACAGCCCCTCGCACTCCTAAGAGAATTCCTTGGCTCTTCACTTCTGCCCAATTTCACTTCTTTTATCTCTTTGGACTCCCTGCCTCTAGCTTTGCCCTGCCCCCTATAAATATGGTCATACCCCTTTCCTGCTTAAAACCTTGTCATGGCTCCTCATTGCCCCCAGATGGCCCACAACTTGCCATGACCTGGTCTTGCTTTTCTCTCCAACTTCATCATTCTGCCCCCCCTGCCTCACATTCAACCCTCAGCCACATGACCTCATTTCTGGCCTCCTATCCCTTGCATATGCTGTTTCTCCCTCATGAAACACTATGCCTAACTCTTACTCACCCTTCAGGTCTCGGCTTCAGCAGTACCTCCTCTAGCAGGCCTCTCTTCTCTGAGTTTCTGTGAATCCCCTCTTGTCTTAGCCTAGCCCACAGCATATGTGCTGTGACTGCCCAGGGGTGCATCTGTTGTTGCTTATCTTAGTGCTAGCTGATAGTAGGCATTCAGTAGGAATTTGTTGGGTAAGTGATTGAATAAGAGTGTAAGGGAGTAAAGAGCATAATAGGGCTGTCTTGAAGGAGACTAGAGAAGAAGGGGGATTTATTTGGCCCGGCCCTCCCCCATCTTGCAGGTAATATCACCTTTTATTCCTAATGGACTTACCCAAAGTCAACATTTCTCTGGACTGAGCTCAAGGAGAGTGGACCCAGGCTGTGCTGAACAAACAAGGCCTTCCCCACTTGATCGTCATACCCTTGTTCAGTTCTGAGCACTTGACTCCAGCCCAAGTGCTGTTTCTGGTTCACCAGCTTCCGTCTTTGAAAACTTGCCAGTGCTGCTCTGCCATGAACTTGCTGTATGACCTTGAGGAATTTACCTCCTCTTTCTGACTTCAGTTTCTTCAACTGTAGCAAGGGAAGAATGATCCCTACGCAAATCACAGAGTGATATGGGGACAGGAGGATAACACGGAACATGGGTTTGGAAGTCTCAGCCCTGGGTTCAAATCTGAGCTCTACCACTTAACTGGAAAATCATCTTAACTCTCTAGACTTAGTGTTCTCATCTGTAAAAGCCTCTCAGGCTTGCTGTGATGATTAAGTGAGATGATACCTAATAATAGTAATTATGTAAATAGTGCTTCAAACAAAGCCTGGTACACAATTGAATTCAACAAATCATAAGGTATCCAGGGACTTCAAGAGAAAAGAGAGCACTTGACAACATGGATTCAAACTGGGTTACAATACCAGAGCTGGGAAGATGCCTTAGGAACCACGTGGTATATTGGTGAGAAAATTGAGACCCTTCCCACCCCCAGAGTGGAGAAGGCTCTTGCCCAAGATTACCCTTAATTCCACAGTATTAATAAACTCCTGAGGCAGAGCTCTAGCTTGGGCTAGGAAGTTGGGTGTTTGCTTTGGGAATCAAAAAACGTTTCAAGTAGCTCAGCCTCCTCCGCTGCCACCTCTGGTACGTACCTGCCCCCGTTCCTTCCTCAGTCCCATCATTATGAGGGGAAGCTGGCTGAAGTACAAGGGCAAGTGGCACTCTCCCACTCCATCGACTTGAGTCCAGAAGCCCTCCTCCACCTCATGGTCAGGGCCATCCAATCCCCCATCCTCCTCCATTCTAGGTCTTGGGTTGGCAGCGGGATCAGAGGAGACCAGGGTTCAGGAAAGCGGCAGAGGAAAGGGGCGGGTGTTACTTACTATACTGGTGGGCAGCAGTGGAGAAGTTGCAAGAGGTCTGCATGCACATCAGCGTGGTTTCGGGGCCTCGGATCAGGAAAGATAGAGACAGCAGGTGC